TTAGTACTAAAATGATGAAAATTCAAACTTTTTTATGTTGAGATTTTGTGTTTAAATGATCATCTGGAACCCCCCAAACCTATACACTGAATTATTCTAAGATTTGAAGCCGAAATCTATGAGAAAAGGCACTCAGAAAAATTGAAAAATGCTAAATTTACCCCAGATTTCTTAACGCGATTTTATTTCTGAAACTCTATGTCCAAAAGGATTGTAGTCCCCTATTAGAATAAGAATCGCTGAAAATTTCAGCTTTCTATCTATAATAGAAAAAAAGTTATGATTTTTTGAAGTTTGCAAGAACCCAAATCATAATAGTACCTTAGTACTAAAATGATGAAAATTCAATTTTTTTTATGTTGAGAATTTGTATTTAAATGATCATTTGCTACCCCCCAAATTCTATACACTAAATTATTCTGTGATTTGAATCCGAAATCTATGAGAAAAGGCACTCAGAGAAATTGAAAAATGATAAATTTACCCCAAATTGGTTTCATGGATTGTAGTCCCCTATTAGGATAAAAATCGCTGAAAATTTCAGCTTTCTATCTGTAATAGAAAAAAAGTTATGATTTTTTGAAGTTTGTAAAAACCCAAATCACCACCCCTTAGTACTAAAATGATGAAAATCTATCTAAACTGCTGGACAAATGAAGCGGAACAAGCGAATTTTTAATTTAACTTTGGATGCCAATACTACGCGAACTAAAGAGGATATCAATGAGTGATTTGCGTAATTTAGAAGTTGATTTTCGCAAACCGGTCATTAATATCTTTGTCAGCAGTTTATAATAGAAAAAAAGTTATGATTTTTAAAAATCCAAATCAAAAAATCCAGGTACAGTGACGATAGTACAGCTCTAAAGTCCAAATTCTAATTTAACCCCTCTCTAGCAGGTTTACAAATTAAGGAAAATCAAGAAAAAATTTGAGGAAATTTAAGGCAATCAGGGGAAATCATAAGGAAATCAGAAGAACAAACGTTGAGCAACTCAGGAAAAATCTTGAGGAAATTAAGGGAAATCAGTGCTTGCGCAGTTTTCAAAAATCTTCCTAATTTGAGATTATTGTATCAGTTGAACTGTTGGGCAATCTTACTAATAAGAAGACATCAGGAGAAATCATGAGAAATTACCTCTAAAACCGCAATATGGTGTACAAAAACTGACTTAAGGTTCACCGCAAGGGAAATCTGGGCTAGGACTCTGTAACGGATAGAGACCGCTATCAGAGCTGTTCCACAGGCAAATTGTACTCGGGTAGGTACCAGGTACAAATACTTGGCTCAAGATGTACTCGAGTACAGAAAACAATTACAAGTATTCAATACCCAAGTGCTCAAAATACCGAGTACATTTATAAATACATTTTGTATACCTTGTATACCAGTGACGTCATAAAAACTATCACGCAACCTCCTCTTTCAAACAGCCTTGATCATTGACATGAAAATCTCTCGGAAAATCTAATGCCTGTATTAAGTCTAGTACTCATAACTACGAAATTCGCACTTTTTTGCCATTGCTTTGACAATTTGACATTTATCAAACATCAAATTGTCAAAAAAAGCGAATTTCGCAGTTATGAGTACTAGGCTTTGCATTTGTGTATTTTTCCGTGTATTTATTCATGTAGTTCAGGGTGCCAACACTATTTTGTTTTTCATGATGCTGATTTAAGTATGTTGCATTTGAAGTTTGTCTGTTTGTCACCCTGAACGGTATGAATAAATACCCGGCAAAATACACAGAAGTAATACGGACATAATACTGCTATAAATCTATTAGGCTGTCCAAGATGCTATCAATATATGTAGTTACTATATTAGAGAGCTTATGCGGGTCAGAATTTTCAAATTTACTGTCACAGTGCACAGAAAAGTTCAAGATTTTCGTATGCAAATCACAATGATCAACGGAACGATGCTACGCATCTGCACGCTAAACAAGAAATGCTAGAATATTGGTCGTATATCGTAACATAATGTCAGGTCTCAACTTGTCTGGAAATGTACGTATCGTCAAATAAATATGTACTTAGAGTCCTCATTAGAGTCCAATAATTTTACTCAGTAACTGCAAATATATTCGACTACAATGAAAATACCCGGATATAACAAATGTATTGGAGTATAGAAGCATGTACTATGGGTATTTTTTAGCGATGTGACCGAAGCCGAATAATTATTCGGTATTCGGCCTATTCGGCGGTATTTTCGCTATTCGGCCGAATATTGAATTTCCACTATCGAATATTCCTTGTTCGGATATTTTACTGAATTTTCCAACATAGGTATTTTTAATTAATATCGATTCGAAAAAGAAAATGAAAATACAAGTTTCTAGGCTCTTATTCTCGAAACAGGGGAGCAGTGTTTTCATAAGAAAGGAGGTTCTGTCTTAGGGTGGGTATTATAAAACTATTTTGACACTTAACTTAAAAGTTAAGTTCTGAAATGACGTTACTTCCCATAGTAGTTCCACAAGTTAACTTTTTGCTATTTGTCAAAATATAGTTTTATAATGCCCGACCTTAGTAGTTCACATTTATATTTCCATAATACTCACAAAGGTTTCGAGAATAGACATCCTGGCGTTAAGAAATTCAACTTAACAAAAAATATTAGTATAATAGAACAATAATAATGATGAAAGACCAAATGCTCCGCTTTAGGTAATAATCGATTTCTTCTATTCTCGCACAGGTTTCCAACTTCTGAGAATAGAATAGTCGCTCACTGTAAACGGTACTTGAAGGAGCTTATAAATAGAGATTTCCAAGCTAGCTCATTTTTGGATATTTTGTAATTGTAGGTATGTATTTCTTCCACAAAGAAAATGGAAAATGGTCTTTGTTTAATATTTCACCCGATAAATAAGCCTCTAACTCAATTGCAATATCGTTTTTGCGATTGGAGTGATCAGAGTCCCTATTAGTCAAGGCTATTTCATTATAATATTTGAGCTCTGACATGCTTCAATAACTATTCGATATTCGGCCGAATATTTGGTTTAAATTCAGCCGAATATCCGGTATTCGGTTATTCGGCTAAACTACTATTCGTCACATCACTAGTATTTTTTATATTCTTAAGCAGTTCAAGTACAAGTACATGCTTCAACACGTATATTGACCCGAGGACCAAATAACTTCATAGAATCAAATGAAGATTACTTGTACCTACCCGAGTATCGCTATAGCTGTCTCCTTCTGACTTCAATAGAGAGAGGACGTCAATTCAAGAAATTCAAGAGAAATTGGTAGAGGCATTTTTCTATTCCAGACGTTTGAATTTTCTCTATCTAGAAAAAAATTAGAAGAACACAAAAATTGAAGATCCATATTCAAATAGCCCAGAATAGTCCAATAATAAAGCTATGAAAGAAAAATTTTAAGTGAAATCTCGAGACTACACGAGACTCTCGCCTTGTCTAGTCTAGTCTCGTCTCGTCGAGACTTCACGAGACGAGACCAAAAGCCAGTCTCGTCTCGAAAAGTCGAGACGAGACGAGACGAGACCAGTCTCGAGTCTCGCGGCATCACTACTATAAGTTCAAATGAGCAGAAATTTTCAGGGCTTGTAGTTCTCTATTAGGATAAGAATCGCAGAAAATTTCAGCTTTCTATCTTTAATAGAAAAAAAGTTATAATTTTTAAAAATCCAAATTGAAAAATCCAGGTACAGTTCTAAAGTACAAATTCTAATTTAAATCTTTCTTGTTGAGTTTTCATGCATTTCAAATTCAAAATTCGTACGTAGCACCAGACAAAGACCATAGCCCTATGGGCTCGTGATTGACAAAACTCTCGCCCTACGGACTCGTGCACTTGTAATATTTCTACTGGAAGTACAGGGTTATTGGTTATAAATGTCACCCCCCTCTATCTTCTTTATTTGATATTTTAGAAAAAAGTGTCCCAAATAAAAAATTTATGGTTGAAATTAATTTTTTTGAAAAACTCACTTTTGCTTATACAGGGTGTTTCAAAAAAGCTGGTCGTGCTCCAACTTTCTTATTTTTAATTGAATACCCTGTATATTATTCAATATTCGGATTCTACGTTAAATTCCGAGCAGATTTCATGTGATATACCCTATACCTAAGGTCAACTGTTTTGAAAATATGAACAGTTGAAAATTGACTTTTTTGCAAATTTGACAGGCTGTAAAACCTAAACGGTTAACTTTTGAGCAAAACCGATCTTACATATTTTTCTAAGATTTTCACAAGTTATAATTTGATATGTACCAACTTTGAATTTAACCAAAGATTGAATTTAATTGGAATTTTCAATCATGGATTAAATTCAAAGTTGTAAAAATCTATGATAAAAAAAATTTAAGTTCGGTTCTGCTCTAAAATTAACCGTTTAGGATTTACAGCCTGTCCAAGTTGCAAAAAAGTCAATTTTCAACTGTCAATATTTCCAAAACAGTTGAATTTAGATATAGGATATATCACATGAAATCTGCTCAGAATTTGATGTAGAATCCGAATATTGAATAATATACAAGGTATTCAATTTAAAATAAGAAAGTTGGATCACGACCAGCTTTTTTGAAACACCCTGTATATGCAAAAGTGAGTTTTACAAAAAATTTAATTTCAACCATAAATTTTTTATTTGGGACACTTTTTTCTAAAATGTCAAATAAAAAAGATAGAGGCGGGTGACATTTATAACCAATAACCCTGTACAAACAGCTTAAAACTGGAAATAAACTTTCTTACTTTGGGATCAATTATTTACCTTCTAATAAAATTAAGCAGATAATACATGAATATAAAACCAGTCTGTATCAAATTCCGGCCAATAGAAAGTCGCATCTTATTCCGTCGTCATTTAACAAGTCTAAACTCTAAGTATTACCTCAACAATAATCAGAGCGTGCCTAAAAGTCTGGTAATTAACAAAAATGTATCCTATTATTTTTGCAATTAAGTTACAGTTTGATGAAGACCGTGCCCGTGTATAGAATTTAAAAGTTGTTTTAGGCGAAGAGATTCTTTGGCGATCCCACTAAATCCGCCCAAAAAAGAGCTGGAACATCCCAGCCAGTTTTCTTCAACACTCAGAAACAATAATAATAAAAGGAATTCATTTGGTGGTTCAACTTCTAGTTTAAACGGCAAGAATTATTTGCAAGTGAGTTTATTTTCTTGCAGTTGCAATTATTCACATAATAAGTTTGTTTTTTAGGTGCCAGGTTTAAACATGCGTAGGAATTCCAGAAATTTTTCCACAGATTCATTGGATTGTAGAAGGAATTCTTGGGATCCTGGCAGGCGAGGATCTTCTGGATCTTCTTGCGGTTTTGAAGAGCCTATTTGGGAAGATCAAAAGGTAAATAATAATTAAAACGAAATATATTGTTCTTTTTTCAAGAAAAGTTTCTTTTTATTATTAATGATAAAAGTGTGCATGACTAGTAACAATAATATAAAGTTATGAGTCAAGGCAAAGCAAACTTAAACGCCGTACTGACCTTTCTGAATAAGGCATTGATATACTTTGTATAGCGTTGTGGAAAATAACTAAATTTATTTATAAGAATAAATAATATGTGGCGTCTTCTGTTTATTAAATGAATGGTTTGATTAATAAAATTCTTCATTTGCATATTTTATTGCGAATGTCTGAATCAAAGTGTTATGTTGTCGTAGGCAGTGGAAAATTATTGATTTTCCTTATACGACAATGTTTGGTGTTTTTATAATATGGTTTGAGATTCTAAAAAAAGCAATGTTGTTCTTTGGATATTTCAATTTTTTGTCAGACAAAAAATGCACGAGGCTGTGAAAAATACAGATATGAAACGAGTTTATGGTAGTTTTTTTGGAGTTTTCAAAGTACCTATGCCTACGGAATCCCACAAAATTCCACTAGAATTCCATATACTTATACACAATGGTTTACTTCTCGTAAAATAAGATTGAAAAGATGTAACCAACATAATTATTTAAACGCCTGTTGTAATACTATTTCTATCTGAGTATTCTTTCATTTTTCTTTAGTTTAGTCCTTATTTGGCAATGATATTCACCAATGTGACTTAATAAAATTCCATTGAACGCCATCTATGTTATTCATACTAATACTGAATAAAATGTTACCAAGAACTTTCACCGGGTACCACTCAGTTTCTCAATTACTTGCATAGATGGCAGTAAAGTGCCAACACTTTTAGCAAAATATGTTCCAAATTGACCTACAAGTTTTCTCATGCCGAAACCTCAATCGATAAACACTTTTCCTTTTCAAACTTGTGTAATTATAACTCGTAAAAGAGATTTCGTGATAATCACCGATGGTTTTGCGGCGCTACAAATCGTGCGATTTTTTCTTATTAATTTTACGACAGATGGCCTACAAACATTTCAGTCGTCACTTTCATATTCACAAAAACAAATTTGCTCATAACTTTTGACTTATTAAAAATATGCATATTAACACATTCATAACCACTTATCAAACAGCTGCACATAAAAGTAAAATTGTTACACTCTTGCTTATTTATTATTTGCCCACAAAGTAAAAGTAAAATTTTGCTTTTATTATAAATAAATAATTATATTTATTAGAATAGTTGACGTGTCGTTTTCTCTTGCATATAAAATTATTTTAAAAAAAACACACACACATAGTTGCATAATAATTACTGAAAAAATATTTATCTTTTAATTAACCCAAAAACGATGAAGATGTTTAATTGAGTAATATATACTGCAATCTACTTTTTGCTTCACGCAATGTATGCTCAGAACCAATCTGTTATATATACAGAGATAAATGCAGATGACCATATATATAACAATCACATGCGTTTAAATGAAAAATTATGAACCGTTGGTTCGAGAGTGTTCCGAAGTGGAGTAGGTAAAGTGCAGATGATTTGTGATAGATGGTGTCTTTTTACGGTTAGCATGCCATTTGGTAGCAAAATTATTATCAGTTAGAACGGATTTGCAACCTGATATTCCACGAATAATAAAATTCGAATTAAAACCTTTCACCTTGTGTAACAAGCTTCTTTTTACTTGATTTTTTCTCGCCTCATTAAAGTCACCCAAAAATACCAATAATTGGAAGAGATAAACATAAATAATAATTTACAAGAGATTATCGAATATTATTATTTGGGTCAAATGAAGATTTTTTTTGGTAAAAATTACTAACCAGTTACTTAACAAATATAACTAGCTGCATTTACAAGAGCACGTATACTAGAAAAACCAGTAAAAATTAATAAAATACCATATCGCGAGCTTGTTGTGTTAAGGTGGAAATTAACTGTTAATTATAAACTGTACAAAAAATGGGTTACAATTTAATTAGTATTTTTTTTTTTTGTAATTTTATCTAAGTACATATATGCATTTATCCTTGTTTTTGTTGATTTTTCCGTATTTGAATTCTAGATTTTTGTCTCTCTCAAGCACACTACAGCTTCTTAAGAAGCTAAATTGGTATATAAACTGGTTTTTCTAGGCCCTAAAGTGATTTTACTTGGATTTTTATCTGGGGGGATGAGCAGGATTTTTTTTTTCCATCCAATCCTTGCAAAATTTTCCTCAAAGAAAAATAAAACGTCTCTCAATGTCGTATTTTGGAACCTTGATTTTTTCCAGAATGATATTGACACTCATTTTCGCTCAGAACTTTTTTAATTTCAATCCGATCCTGATGTAATTAGGCTTGAATTAAGAACAATTGAATCCTCTACAAATCTCTATTTGGTAGTTTCAACGTTGCTTCAATAGTTTTCAAGCTGTAAAGCTTCAAAGTGTTTTTATTTGGATTTTTATCAAGGTGGATGAGCAGAAGAAAATTTTTAATTTTTTTCATAAATTTTATTCTTTTCTCTCTCCATTTGTAAAATTTCAATCCAATCCCTGCAAAATTTTCCTCAAAAAAAAATAAAACGTCTCTCAATGTCGTTTTTTGGAACTTTGATTTTTTCCAAAATGACATTGTCACACATTTTCGCTCACAGCTTTTTTAATTTCAATCCGATTCTAATGTAATTAGGCTTGAATTAAGGACTATTGAATCCTCTACAAATCCCTATCTGGTAGTTTTAACGCTGCTTCAATAGGTTTCAAAGTATGAAGCTTCAAAGTTTTTCTATTTCTATTTCAATCTTTCTTCTCTCCATTTGCAAAATTTCAATCCAATCCCTGCAAAATTTTCCTCAAAAAAAAATAAAACGTCTCTCAATGTCGTTTTTTGGAACTTTGATTTTTTCCAAAATGACATTGACACTCATTTTCACTCAGAAGATTTATAATTTCAATCCGATCCTGATGTAATTAGGCTTGAATTAAGGACAATTGAATCCTCTACAAATCTCTATTTGTTAGTTCCAACGCTGCTTCAATAGTTTTCAAGCTGTGAAGCTTCAAACTGTTTTTATTTGGATTTTTATCAAGGTGGATGAGCAGAAGAAAATTTTAATTTTTTTCCATAAATTTCAATCTTTCCTCTCTCCATTCGCAAAATTTCAATCCAATCCCTGCAAAATTTTCCCCAAAGAAAAATAGAACGTCTCTCAATGTCATTTCTTAGAACTTTGATTTTTCCAAAATGATATTGACATACATTTTCGCTCACATCTTTCCCAATTTATATTCGATCCTGATGTAATTAGGCTTGAATTAAGGATAACTGAATCCTCTCCAAATCTCTATTTGGTAGTTTTAACGATGTTCCAATAGTTTTCAAGCTGTGAAGCTTCAAATGTTTGAATTTGGATTTTTATCAAGGTTCAATCTTTCCTCTCTCCATTTGCAAAATTTCAATCCAATCCCTGGAAAATTTTCCCCAAAGAAAAATAAAACGTCTCTCAATGTCGTTTTTTGGAAATTTGATTTTTTCCAAAATGACATTAACGCACATTTTCGCTCACATCTTTTTTAATTTCAATCCGATTCTGACGTAATTAGGCTTGAATTAGGGACAATTCAATCCTCTACAAATCTCTATTGGGTAGTTTCAACGCTGCTTCAATAGTTTTCAAGCTGTGAAACTTCAAAGTGTTTTTATTTGCATATAAATAAGTCCACAAAGCCGCAGAATCTTTGGAGTCTTTAAAGTACTGAGAGGGATCCTGTTTGAATTCCTAAATCACTACTAGAATCTTAAGAAACCAGTCCTCATTGAGCCTCAATATCTTTATGAAGTGCGATATTTAAAGTCTTTATACAATCTTTGATGTCCTCGTTATACAATCTCCAGAAATAAGTTTGCAATCTAGATTTCTCGTTCTACAATTTCGAAAAAAAAAGTCTTTGTAGTCTTTTTATTAGGTCTGTTATTGTCCTTTATAAATAAGCCGCAGAATCTTTTATGTACCTTCAGAAACTACAAAATCCTCAGAAGCATCAGAGTCATTGAAGTCTTTAGAAACTTCAAAGTCGCATATCACAATCTTATGAGTCTTTGGACTATGTAAAATCTTCATTCTTCGGGCTCTTGGCTATACAATCTCCAAAAACAAGTCTTCTGGGTCTCAAAATTTTCAAAATCATGTTAATTCCTAAATCAACAGAGTCTTTGCTATGTAATTTTCTTGGAAGGAATCAAACGCCGATAATAATTAAATCTTTGATCCAAATCTTGATTGAAATTGATCTACAACATTTGGACTATAAATATGTCTTGATTGCCTCTCAAAGACTAATTCCATGATTTCAAAATTCTACAATCTCCAGAAATAAGTCTGCGAAGACAAAGTGTCTGGATTTATCATTCTACAACATCAGAAAATAAATTCTTGGAGCATCTTTGAAGTCTCCAATAATGTGTTTTGGTAATCCTTACAATCACTTTACAATCTCAAATATATGTGTGTAAGGTCTCAGAATCTTCAAAGTCTTGAAAATCCGTACGATTCCTATAAATCAAGAGGCTCCTCATTAATCCCTTCAGTGTAGCATCTTTGCAAGCCTCAGAGTTTTTATACATTTTGTGAGGTCCTTAGTTTACAATTTTCAGAAATACTTGAGGCATCGAAGCTCAGGTTTCTGAGTGCCTACATCTACAGATTCCATATTTTTCTTTCTACAAATTCAAGTTTTTGAAGTCTTCACTACAAATATGAATCTGTAGCAACTTTCAAGTCTTCAGAGTTGCATTTAACAATGTTCTCTAGACTGTGAAATCTTCAGAGTTTATGAAATCCTCGCTCTACAATATTCAAAAATAAATCTTCTGAGCCTCAGAATCTTCACAATCAAGAGAGAATTACTCATTCCACATTATCAAGATAGATGAGCAGAAGGATTTTTTTTATTTTTTTCATAAATTTCAATTTTTTCTCTCTCCAATTGCAAAATTTCAATCAA